TATTTTGCCCCTGAGTGTTACCCAAGTGTTAAATGCCATAACTATTGATTTTAATGGCTCTGTTTGCTCTGTTATCGGTAGGGTTTCAGAGGTGTTTCCACGCGTATTAAAACAGATCTTCCTATATTCCAAACTAACGATAGTTGTAGCTTCCTCCATCTATCCCACGAATCCTTTCCTTCTTTATCCTATATGTCTTTGAAAAGTTCTTACAAAACTCATGCCTATCGCTTGATCGATAATTATCGATAGGCGCGTGATAGTTTTATCATCACTAGAAACTTTAATCGCCTCTACGCGTAGCTACGCTTGGTTTACGAACTGTCGAAAGCAAATGCAAATTGTATGCTTAGGCGCATGTGTTAATTTTAATGTTGATTATTTGTTTTGTTTGTGGCTAAAACTAGCGACATTCTTACTCACTCTCCCTCTCTTATTCTCTCTTTGTGGCTCAGAGTTCAATGTACATTTTGTCATTTTGTTCAATTGTATTCGGAAATTGTTTATTACTCATTAATAAGGCACTCGAGAGCGTGGGTCAATGAAATCGTTTACACAAATGCATATTCGCCTCCGTCCCCATCTTTCCCCTCTATGCTTCTTCCTTTTTAATGGGTTTTCGTAAGAGATCTGTACTGGTCGAAAGCAGCGTCATTCAGCTTGGCCCCAGGCCAAAATAATGATTGCATGCGGCATGCGGTGATGGTGAGACGTTCATTCATCACTTGCGGAAATGCTGATCTGTTTAATACTCTGATCTATGGGCGTGTCGTTTGTGGTTTACCCCCATTGACCGGGGGCAGAATAAACTGAATAAATGCCGATAAAGTCGGATATTCGGATGCTACATGAAAGTGATAATTTATATTGGATCAAAAAGTAATACAATTTACTTGGATAAAGTTGGATAAGCTACGATTCTACATATTTTTCATTTATTCAGACAGATGACTGCGAATATGACTTATCCGTGGTTTAGTTTCGACTTGGATAAAGCCGGATAAGCATTATTAGTGATTTGGAGATTAATTTCTAATGAATTCAAACTGAAAAACAAGGAGTTAACTTATCCGTTGCTTAGTTTGAGCTCGGATAATGCCGGATAAGTGTTATTAATAACTATAAACTTATATTTGCCGTTTTGGTATTAAAGAGATTGTTGCTAGGCTTTTTGGATAATGATAATATTTACATAACTCATTGGAATTGTATGGAAAGCCCCTTTAGTAGGAAAACAAATTATAGATGATGTATGACGCGCACGCGTTACCATTTATGAATGGATTTTCACAGATAGCACATATCCGTTTTATCTCGAATTAATCATGATATGATATGTATTATGGGAAACGCGCTAACAATGTAGAAAGACGTTGAACGCAAACCGACCGAGTATAACTGCTTCATGATGCACGATCGTACAATTTCCCGCAATTTATCATTGATTCATGCCAATGATCAAATCATAATAGTTATCTCTTCTGATCAATGAATAATAAACGGATAATTGTATTAATCATCAGCAGGAATTTCCATTTTTCATTTCTTATCAAGTGTATTAGTCCATAAATGGCTTATACTAAGTAAATTTACTATTGGATTGTGGCATTATAGGCACTTATTATCTGGGAGATAGCCCAGCCATAGATTGCGTTGCCTTGATTCATGTAGAAACGTTTAAGGGCTATCAGCAGTAGGGCCAGAAGCAGAAGTAGATTGCAGATTACGATTCGAGACAAGCGGAGGGAGGACCTTGGCTTGTTAACTGGGCCTTATCTGCAAGCACAGAGAGCATTTAATAGGTCACGGCGTATTTCCGGTAGTCCATCCACACCTTACAGACATTTTATCTTACTCATTCTACTCTCTCTTCTGCCTCTACGTGGGGAGCGGGACACAGCTCCCTTCCGATACGCTCCCTTTGTTAACGTATTATTCCGCTCCATTGCCCCAACAGCATAAAAAGAAGGAAAAAACGAGAACGTAAAACTTGTTTACCACAAAATGTCGTCGCAGTTTTAGTAGCACATATCATGTCATCAGGTTCTTAGAATCCCACAATTTCATCATGAATTCTGATTATGAATCAGGCACGAAATCCATTTGGGTTCGAACTCTGGAGACTGGAAAACCTATCCCAGAAATGTACTTTGTTTTGTTTATTTTTTGTTTGTTTTATTGTTTAATGAATCGAAGCCCATTTGTAAGAGTTCTATAATGAAATAAGTGCCTGGAAGATCTATTATTTGAAGCGACTCTAGAAATATCGATGAAGTATGAAGCATAGTAAGGCCTTCCTCTCAAGAGATTCGCCGAGAATGCAACAACAAAATACATGTCGATAGTTGTTCCAGAGAAATTAAATGCTAATGCAATTTTGGTCATATTTCTACGATCTAAGGGTCTATATGATAGACAAATAGCTAACGATACGAAAGAAAGCATGATATGAATCGCAGAATCAATCGGTCTATATGGTAATTAATTATCGATAGCTGACAACTGTCTCTTAAATAAAAAGCCGGAAACGGAAGAACTTTCCGTTTCATTTAAATGATTTCTGCTGAGAACAGGTCTCATTATTGTTTACGAAAAAATCTGTTAATTGCATTCATTGATGCTGTGCCCTGTGCGAGATGATGATTCTGATGCACTTCCTTGTGTCCGAACCGAACCGACCGATACGATCCGATCCGATCCGTTTCCACACTCTTGTTTTTCGTCCCCCGGAAATGTATCCACAGCCAAATTTGTTCATCGTCTGGCGGCCAATGCTCTTCCTCTTTTATGGATGCTTTTGTTCTTGTTTTTGTTGTAAACAAAGCATAAATTCAGCTTCGCTTCAGTCTGTTTGCCATAAAAATACCAAAAACAAAAATGGGGGGAGTGAAAATGTTACGATTATGGCGCAACTTCACCCACACATGAGAGACCAAGAGCCAAGAATCAGTCCAAAAATAGAAGAACCAAACAAAAAGCATAGAAAGAGAGGCAGCGGCCGGGCCAAATTTAGTAAATGATGTGAATGCCGTGGGCGTGCCACAGAAACGGTGGTGTCTCCTCCGCCAGCTGCTGCTGCTGCTGCTGCTGCAGATCGATGCAGTCATGTAATTGGCATCTATACACGTTTGACCGCCGCAGTCTGCACTTGCTCTTGGGGCTCTCGCTCTGTCTGACATAATCGCTTGGCATTTGGCTTCCCATTTGGCTGTCTCTCTTCTATCTCTCTCTTGTGCTCAACATGTTGCAAGAGTTTCTTTTTACCTCTTTGTTGCATAGTTTATGTTTTTTCGTTTGTTTCGGTTTTCAGGTGTTTCCAGGTATGTGGGCTGCAGACAAGTTTTTTCTTTTGTAAAACCAAAAATGTTGTCCCTCTAGCCGTAAATCTGCCTCTTTTAGTGCTGCTATGTTTTGGCAGAGGTGGAAAAAGTCTTAAACCTAAGACTATATGAACCATGGCTACGGCTGGAATGATATATGATCCTAAAAAGGATCTAGCTTGGGTTATGTGTGCCCGACAGTGGCTTCTTAAGGCTTCCAAGGCTTAAAACCCCATCTCAAAGTCGACTTTTATGGTTGGTGTTTCGGTGTAAGTGCTGAAACCGCTTGAGGTAGTCATTAAGGAACATTCTTTATAGCGGAAATTGGCATATCAGAAATGGAGATCAGACTCGGATCGACTTTGCCAAAAGATTTCTTTGGGAGACCTGCATTGATTCTCTCTTGCCATACATTTTGCGTGTGTGTTTTCCATTGAAACATATTTCGATTTTGATTTGTTTTCTGACTTTGAGTTGTCACTGGACTTGGACTTGACGTCATTTCCATTCCCATTTCCATTCCCCTTCCCCACTCGAAGCGGCTCTTCCCCTTGGCATTGCCGTGCCGCTCTCTAGCATTGATAAGCCCCCGTTGGCCCCAGAGTAATGTATAAAACGTTTCTCAGCAGGAAATAGACTTGAGTTTCAGTCGCGATTCTCCACTCAATTGGAATTAAACAGGCCGCCGGATAATTGTAATTGTATTCGGCGAAAACAAAATCATTTACAAATGATTTACGCAATCAATTACAAAATTTGTTTAAGCCACAACGCAAAAAAGATACAGATACAACAGATATGAGCGAATATATAGCGCAAAAATTGTGATATAAATATTTCAAAAAATAACAAGAAACAAAAACAAAGTGAAACGATTTCAGAATGAAATGGAAATCAAGTAACTGCGTCGCAGAGAAATATGGCTATATACGATAAATAATATCCCATCACTTTTTCCCCTTTTGTGGCATACGCTACGTATACGCGATATTTAAATTTCCATTTGCCCAAATGATGCAATTGTCAGTGCCCCCGCTGTTGCTGTTGATGCTGCTGCTGCTGCTTCTGGTGATGACGATGTCTTGTTGCCAACACACGGAACAAGAGGCAGACGAAGCTGCCACAAAAATCTCGTAATGTGCATATAGATTTTGTTGTTGTTGTTTTTGTTTTTCCCTATTTATGGGTCGCGCTTACACTCGTACTCGGACTCGTACTCGTATTCGTCTCTCGATTGGGTGGCACATGTTTCGATGTGTCGCCACTGGGAACGTGACTGGCATACGGATTGTGGCATTATACATATTGCCACTTATAGTACGAATCAGCGGTGGCTGTGCCTGTCCTTGGGGGAGTTCATTCATTGTTCACTTATAAGGAGAACCAGAAAAACAGTTTCCCGAATTGATTTATTTGGGCATATTTCGTGAAAAAGTGTGCTGCCAGCATGTAGAACGTTTCAGCAATATAATGAATGATTGGATGATGCATATTTATATCTGAAAATTTATAGATCCCCTCCACAGAATCATATCCAGAAGTGATCAATAGTTTATGGAAATAAACGATTTCCTCGCGATTGGCCATCGCTTTCTCGAGAGTCTATTTTTAAGCGTTAACTTTATTGAGTAACCACTTATTTATTATTAATATTTCCCTTCTATCCTTTTCTTTTTACAGAGAAGTCCTGAATGCATGGCGTGCCAAGGCCCGCTGCAATGTGGTGCCCGACGAGCGTACCCAGGAGCTCTTCCACGAGCTAAGCTTCCATCCCAGCCAAAAGCAGAGTAAGTACTCTAAATACAGTGAATATCCACTAGAACAGATAACTAATTGATTGTTTCACCCAACAGTTAGCGAAATGCTGCAAACGGCCAAGAAGGTGGCCCGCAAGGGGGGCAGTGGACAGCCAAATGGCCTGACATTTGGACAGTTTTGCGTACTGGCCGCAGATTTGAAGCGTTTTCGGTGAGTGTTTTTCGATTGATCTTTCTTTAGCCCCTCATTTAACAAATATTTCCTGCAGGGCTTCAACGATTTCGAATCAGACATCAAACTACTGCGAGTACCAGCAACTGTCCGCGGGCTCAGGCTCTCTGCTCCAGCAACAGCAGCAGCAGGATGATACCCCATCGACTGCCGCCTCACCTGCCGCCTACAGCCATAGCAATGGCAAGAAGCTGGACAACCATGGCACCGAACTGCGGAGCACCAAATCCTTTAGCAGTGTCGATGATACCAAAAAGAAAAAGAACGCCAGCAATGAGCCCGTGGAGGTGTTCCTTGGGGGCTCCTGCAATCCCACAACCTGGCGAGCGGACGTTGCCATACCAGCCCTGAAAGAGCTGGGCATTTCATTCTATAATCCTGTAAGTCACATCCCCCCAGATAGCTTGGGAAGAAGCAATAGCTTATTATCAATTTTCTTTCGATTTTTGTAGCAAGTATCCGATTGGACGCCCGATCTCATCGAGCTCGAGCATCGAGCTAAGGAAAAGGCCCGTGTATTATTCTTTGTTATGGATTCGGAAACACGCGCATCTGCTGGTGCCATCGAGGCGGCACACATAGCGGGTCAAAACTGCAAGCAGCTGGTGTTGGTTTTGCATCCGTATAAACCAAATCAGAAGATACTGAACGAGCCTATTTCACAGCAGTACGTAAAGAGTGAACAATGAATGCATTTAAGAGCTATAGGAGGGGATATAAAATCAATTATCTTTCGATGTACGGCAGAGCATTGCAAACCCAGTTCCATTTGGAGCACATTCGCACTCGCTGATGTTATTCTTACCAAAAATTGTGTCCTGCTATGCCTAAAGCTCCTAAAACGCATTGTAGAGCATTTTTTTAACTAAAACCAATGTCATTCCACAGAGAATACCTCGATCTGACTCGCAATCAGATGATACTTAAGGAGCTGGTCTCCCGTCGCGGTCTCCCAGTCCTGGAGAACATACCCTCCGGATTGCAGCGCACCAAGGAAATACTGTCGGGCATCAGGGATCCGCCGTCCAAGATATCTTCCATTTTAGAGTGAGTTTTGCTAAGACTTTAAATAACGTTTCCTCTGCTAATTTTTCGATGTGTTTTTGCAGTACCGTACGCGGGGCCTTCGATCGGGTGAACCCGCAAAGCGACCTACTCACTGTGGAACAGTGCAAACGTGCTCTCTTATTCTTAGGCTATGCTCAGAGTTTAGTTAATTTAGATAATCTAACCAAGATCATAATTAATCAGCGCGAATCGCTAAAATTCCTGCAAACGCACAGCTCAAAGATCGATCCAAATGAAGATTCAGATCTGCCCATCATGGCCAACCAGGAGCTCATCGACTTTGATCTATTCTGTGTGATCTCGGCCTACCTGTCCGTCCTGCAGCAGGAGATCCACGAGAGTGGCTGCATCTCGCCCATCAAGGGCACCAATGTGCCACCACCACAGGTTTACTTTACCAACGGTAGGTCCTGCCCTCCCCCTACATTCGTCTGACACCCGACTAATCCCTGGCTCGTTCATTCAGCACCCGATGTGGACATCTATTATTCGGCCAGCAAGAACATCTCGCGCACCTCGAGCAACGCCAGTGTACCGTCCAACAGCAGCAGCGGCATTGGCCACGATCTGGAACGCCAGAGCCTGTTCGAGCAGCTGAGTCGCAGCCGGGACAGTGGCACCTCCTCTCCGCAGCCAGCCGCAGCGAGCAGTCTAGGTAAAAGCTCTAAGCCTCAGATCTTGCTGAACGTCGAGTCCATTGAAACAACCGAAATAATCACCACCAAAACGATAGAAACCAAGCCAGGCGGCACGCATCCTGCGTCTGCGGCGGCCCCCACCGAGGAGGAGGAGAGCGACTCCAACGATTCGGTCTTCTCGAGCAGCAGCTCCATTGCTAGTGCCGGGGATGCACTCTGTTGTGGCGGACTCGATCTGCGCGATGTCTATCTGGGCGGCAGCTGTGTGATGCGCACCAAGTGGCGTCAAGAGCTGGCCGTTCCCTACCTGCAGTCGAAGAACGTCAGCTTCCACAGCCCGGCCCTGCACGAGAGCATACAGGTTCAATCGCAGCAGCAACCGCAGCAGCAGCAACCGCAGCAACAGCAGCAGCCTGGACTGCATGAGCAACAGCAGCAGCAGCGCTCGTTTGTCCGCACGCGTCGGAAGTGCCGCGGCAATCAGCTGCAGCTGGAGGAGCAGGAAGAGCTGACGGTAGCCGAGGAGTCGCTCAGCTGGTCTCTGCCACCGGTGTCCGTGCGCCATAACCTGTATAATCCCTCGCTGCTTGACTCCAGCAGAGTGCTGCTCTTTGTGATCACCAATGAGACGCGTTCCCTGGCCCCCATGACACTGGCCGCCCACTGCATTGGCCTCATGTACAATGTAGTGCTTGCGGTCCAAATGCTGCCCGAGGATTGTGTGCTCGGTGGCGAAAAGGTGAGTTAAGAGATTGAATGGGCTATTGGTTTTGGATTGCTAATCATTCTGTGGTTTCCTTTCAGCTAACTGTGGCCGCCATCAAGGACTACAATCGCGGACGGTCGTACCTCATCGATTTGGCCAAGCGGCAGGGCGTGCCCGTGTTCAATGACATACGGGCGGCCCTTGACTGCACTGTGGCCAAGGTGCAGGCGTACAACAATCGCGATCGTTGCTAATTCGTACCTGTATTCAAGTTCCAGCACGTGACAATTTTTAAGCTTATTTCTAAACTAAATCTAAATCCTAGTGCAATTTATATTGTTTTCTACGCCCGTGACCATGCCCTATGCCCCATGCCCCAATCCTCTTACTACCACTAATCTGAATGCTTTATAATCGTATTCTGAAATGGCCCCCCTTCTCTATAGTTGATTCTATGCGTAATACGTAATAACTTAATCTATAATTTAAGTGTAAAACCACTAAAATGTCGTCGCCCAGACAGCGCATTTCATAACCCTATGGAGGCGGCTCTTCGGTCTCTTTCGGCCTCCCCCTCCATATATGATAATTTATTATAATTTATTTAACATATACGAGTAACGAGTAATCCATGTAGTACATGTGCTAAGCTGTAACTGTAAATATCCACACAAACATGTACAATTCTAGTGCATAAGCAATGCAAAAACCCACTAAACTATATATTTTATATATTCTTAGCGAGCATGCAAATATAATTAATGTAATAATTACCATATAAAACCCAACCCCCCTATATTATACACGCATACAGATATTGACCCCCACTGTACCAGTTGGCTGGACAAAAAATATCTCAATAAACAAATTTTTCTAACATATAATTGACGTAAAAGTAAAATCTGATCAATTAAGCTAAGATTCAGAGACGGAAGAACCACAACATGCTCTCTGTAAAACAATACCCTCCAATATAAATTTAAATCTCGCGCGCATTCCATAGTCACTTACGTTTTCTTACGTCTTAAGTTGCTGGCAACATTCACTGTGTATGGGCCAGCCTCATGTGCCGTGAAATCGAGCAGCATTGTTCCTCAACATGGTGCGGATTCAGCATTTTGAATACCCTGGATGATCTAGAATGGAGGAAATGTTTGTTATCTAATGCACCAATATAGGCCAAAACTAGTCAGTCTCTGTTTTAAGGGTATTTCAACGACATTTTGAAGGTAGTGTTCTTCTTACAGAAACCAAGAATGGGTATCGGGATCGAGATATATTTACAATACCCTAATCATATGCATTAATATGTCTAAAACATAACAATTTGAGATAATTTGTTTATTAATTACGTTTTAAAACAGCTGGGAAAAACAGTTTCTTCATATATATTAACGAAATAGGGTATACCTGTGCACAAACTCCGGTTGACGTGACATTTCATACTCACTTACGTTACACTCCGTACTCACTTACGTTGCCACTGTTTTTTTGTTGACCTTTTTTGCCTAAACCTTGTTTTATACACTATACAATAAAAGAGAGTACTTAAAAGTAGCTAATCATGTAGAAAATTTATTCATCAATGGCCTAAAATTATATCGGCAAAGCTAATGATTTTAGTTAGTCAGCATTATTCAACGGAATATTAAAATTGAGCAACAGGAATGGAATGATTTTTCTCTTACGTTTTATTAAGTTTTTTTTATTTGACCTTCTTTGCTATAATCTTTTTTTACGCAAAATCCAATAAAAGCAAGTATTAAGAATAAGCCTGTTAATTAGAACAATGATTCATTAATCGGATAAAACTATGTGGGCATGGCTAAATGTTCAATATAGCTAGTAATATTCGACGGAATATCAAAATTGAGCAATTGGAACGATACTCGTTTGTGTATGCTACTGTTGTTTGACCAAAAGTGCCTTGTGCGTCTGCCGACGGTGGCAGTAAATCCAGATGTCACAGGGCACTCCCAGAGTGCAGCCAGATCGCCGCGTTTTGTGACACCCTGGCAGCACTCAACACGATCGGCAAGTAAAAATCTGACATGAGCGAAACGGCACACACTCTCACTCTCATTCAGTAATAGTATTTGTTGCTATTTCTGCACCAGCTCCGTTTAAACTTAGTTAGTTGAAACAATAAAATGTGATTTTCCACTGCGGCCGGCCCCCTGCACTCGCGTTCCCTCCGTGTCTGTGCGCGCTCGCGTGTGTAAGTGTGTTATTGTTTAGCCCCCTCTGCCCAAATTGGCGACTTTGATTTCAGTCGCCAAATCGAATCGAATTGCGGGGTCCACCGGGTGGACTGGCTGTCGTTCTGTCAGTCGTACGGAATGTGTAATGCGAGTGCCAGTGTGTGAGAGTGTCAGCGGGTTCAATCAACTGTACTATTCCAGTAGTATGACATTCCCCAACTAGTCTGGAGAAACGGCAAAACTTAGTTACGAGGCCTAACACAGCCGCAGAGAAGAGAGCACAGAAGCATGCTTACTGAATGCGTTTCATTACTGTATAAAAATATTAAAGCAAATTAATATTTTGTTATTTTGTCTTGCAAAAACAACTACGTAACATTTCAATGCAGCAGCAGCGGCAGAAAGAGAACGCGACACTTGCTGCTCGGAGAGCGAGCGCCACAGAGAGCGCCCCCTACGCAAGAGAGTGATAAGTGAGAGGAGAGGAAAGGCGACCGACTCTCTGACGTTTCGCGCTGGTCGCTTTTATAACGGACCTCGCCGAAGCCCTAGTTGAGTCAAGTGACGTTCGAAGACGGCGGCGCAGAGGCCAGAAAAACACAACAATTATTAAAGCATATTCCCCGTTTGATTGATATAAATGAATATGCAGTGCGGCCCAGTTATACAGTTATACAACTGGAACAAAATCACTCTCTTACAAGTGTGTGTGTGCAATCTTCCTCCTGCTCTTTCTCCGGGTTTTAATTAAACGCCAGAGATGAATATCACACAGGCCATATCCACAGATGCAGCAGCAGCCAAAGCTGCGAAAAGTGTAAAAGTGCAATAAAAATTAAAATTTGAGTGCCAAAAGCCAGACAACAATAATAAAAGTGAAACAAAATCAAAGTAATCATACAAACAAAAACAAAAATCACACCCGGCAGCGACTTTTGTTATAACGAGCTTCGAATCCGAATCACATAAAGAAATCAACAAGTGTGCGTCTGGGTCTGGTCTCTCACGTCTGTTTCGCTTTCATTCATGCGCTCAAAGCAGCGCACCGACAACCACAACAATAACGGCAACAAAGGCTGATAAAAGCCCAGAAGCAGAAGCAGCAGCAGCAACACCAACAACAACAACAACAGTTACAACTACAACGCCAGTTAGAAGTCTGTCTGACCGAAAGAGAGACACACAGAGAAGAGAGCTTTAAGTAAGTCGTTGATTCCATTCCTAGCGCAAGTCGCTTAACCGTTAGTAGGAACCCTTACCGATTTTTTCGCTCGTGGCTAAGCGTTTTAGTGGGACACACAAGCTTTTTGGTTTAAAAATCGGTGGATAATTGAGGGGAGAATCATTTAGCCACAGTGCGATTCGTGGGTACGTGGGTGTTTGGAGCAAAAATGGCTTTACGAACATGTGAGAGATGGAAATTATATACATATTTATTGTTTATAAATCGAGCGGTGAATATCAAGGAATTTTACATTTTACATCTATAAAAAGGGGCCATAAGGGTAATATAATTTAAATTTCTGAAACATAAAGGACAGCAATCAGTACATTTTTATTTACGGACATTTCGGACATTGAAAAAATATTTTAGAAAGTGATTCCATATATTGAAGGAAAAGCACGATTTTCATATACAAAAATTATCTTTTTTCATTTACAAAATTGACTGTTCGGATCTCTTATATTTTTGCATGCATCAATAACCATTCGACTTAATCGACGTCAAAGCTCAGTTTTAAAGTTCTGAAACGCACTGTACGCAGCTAGATCTAGAGATAGTAGGCATGCATTCAACCGTAGAAGCCGATGGGCCACGTGTTCCGCATGTAAACAGAGCGGCAAGCTAATGACACATCTCATCTCGATGGTTGATGGCTGGTGGGTGTGTGGCGGCGGGATAATCACTCGCAGATCAGATCTGTTGGGTAACCAGATAAGAGAGAGATGTGCATACAACATTCCAGCCAAAGCAATGTTTTTCCAGACCCTTCAACCGGGCCCAAAAGTATGCAATGTAACAGCTTAAAGGATTATTCCCAGGAGGAAAAAGAAACTCCAAACTCATTTACGATCATCAGTAGAGCCTATGATCAACATTTATTTATAAACAATCGAATTAGAACTTTGAGATCCTGGCCGTGTTCAGGGCCTCGGTCATCAGGCGACCAAAGTCCGAGTGGACCATTGTGAAGAGCTTGACGGCGCGCTCCTGCAAGAATTGGCTGGCCTCGCACAGGTGCTCCGACAGGTTCCGGATGAGGCGCTTGCGTCCGCAGTTGTCCAGGGTGTAGGTCCAAAAGTCGGTCACTTGGCTGAAGTTGTCCTCGGTGTCACCGCTCATGAAGCGGTAGACATCGCCCGAGATGGGGCAGCAGGTCTGCAGGGCCAGGGCCCGGGAGCTCTCCTTGGGGCCGCAGAACGAGTTGGGGAAGTAGTTGGGGGCCCCGTCCTGGTTGTCGGTGACCGTCATGGACCCGTCCCGCTGGAAGTTCTTCACGTGCACGCGGTACGGACAGTTGACGGGAATCTGCATGTAGTTGACGCCCAAACGATGGCGCTGGGTGTCGCCGTAGGCGAAGAGCCGTCCCTGCAGCATCTTGTCGGGCGAGGGTTCAATGCCCGGAATCATGTGCGCGGGGCTGAAGGCCAGCTGCTCGACCTCCGTGAAGTAGTTGGTCGGATTGCGGTCGAGCACTAGCTTGCCCACCGGCAGCAGGGGATACTCCTTCTGGGGCCACACCTTGGTCACGTCGAAGGGATTGAAGCGGCTCTTCTTGGCCTCCTCGTTGAGCATCACCTGGATGTACATGGTCCAGCTGGGATAGTTTCCCTTCTTGATCGAATTGTACAGATCCCTGATGGCATAGTCCGGATCGTGGGCCATCAGCTCGGAGCATCGTCGTGCGTCCATGTTCTTGATGCCCTGATCCGTCTTGAAGTGGAACTTCACGTAGAAGGTCTCACCGTTCGGATTGACCATGCGATAGGTGTGCGCCCCGTACCCATGCATGTGGCGGTAGCCATCGGGCGTGCCCCGATCACTGAAGTACATCAGCAGGGCGTGCAGCGTCTCGGGGCGCAGGGTCATAAAGTCCCAGAACATGTCGGCGTCCCGTAGATGGGTCTGCGGATTCCGCTTCTGGGCGTGGATCAGGCTGGGGAACAGCGAGGGATCGCGCACGTAGTAGACGGGCATGTTGCAGCCCACAATGTCCCAGATGCCGTCGTCCGTGTAGAACTTGACGGCGAAGCCTCGCTGCTCCCGGATGGTGTCCGCGGAGCCGTTCTCTCCGCAGGCCACCGAGAACCGCATGGCGATGGCCGTGCGCTTCCGGACCTTCTCGAAAAGCGAGCCCGCGCAGAACCGGGTGATGTCGTGGGTGCACTCGAAGTAGCCAAAGGCGCCCGCGCCCTTCGCATAGGCCACCCGCTCCGGTATGCGCTCCGTGTCGAAGTGCATCACCTCGTCCAGGTAGACAAAGTCCTGCAGCAGGGCTGGTCCCCGCGGCCCCACCGTCATGATGGCATCCTTCACACCCACTGGCGTACCGCTGGCTGTGGTGCAGTCCTTCTGCACCTCCGAATCGTTGGTCTTGTAGTCGATCAACTGATTCGAGGCCGGATCACGTGAACACATTGTTAATTTCTATTCGATAGCTGCGGCAAGATCTTTGGATTTCGAATTTTACGTATATGAATATTATTCCCTGCTAAAAAAGTTTGAACTGTAACCGAAGATGTTGTGTATTGTAATGATTGTGTACTGGAATGTTAGGAGAGAAATCAAGAGTGAAGTTTAATCCAAAGGTTAACTGTGATTATTTTTTTTTTTATGTTAAATATTGTATTTGGAAGGTGGAAAGGTTCTTTTTTTTGAAAGGCCTTCCCATTCCCCTTCCCACCACATGGAACACATATTCTCCGTGTACGATCTTCTCTGTGCATTGTATCCATAATTTCGCTGTCCGTTACTCGTCTCATTGGCCTATTCCATTGGGATGGCGTGAACCTGGAATAGAATGATGATTCGTAATCTTCGTGAACAGTTCTTAAGAGAAGGAAGAGATTGTCTATTAACTGTAATCCCCTCATAATCCTACCAAGAGTAATATATATAAAATACTATGATAGATACGATGGGAACATTGGAGATTACTGGATAATTGGCCATGCTCATCCCCCTGCCGAACCATTCCATGTCTTATCTGCAGTACCCACACGGGCGACAGTGAAAGTGATAAACAATCTACAATTTCGCATCAAATAACAACCGACTCTGTGAGCTCTGTGGGCTCTGTGGGTCGGTCCCCATGGCTCGGCTCGCGACAATCACGAGCGTTCAAAGGTGAAAACGAGGCGTACGAGGGGGGTCTCTGCGTCAGCGCCAGAGACAGAGCCAGCGCCAGTGGCAGTGGCATGATAAGAGCGGTGTGAAGAGAGACAGAGAAGAGGCATTACACCCATAGTCCCGGGGAGGCTTATCGGCTGTTCTGGCACTCGAGCGAAAACGCCAAAAGAAACAATAACTGTCTGATAATCAGAAAACATTATCACGAGAGAAGAGCGAATTTTCACCTATGAGTATGAGTATTTCTGAGCAGAATATTTTTTGGCAGAACTTATCGTAGCGTAAATGCTATTTGTGAGCTATTTGGGTTTTTTATCTGCGACTCCGCAAGTGAATAAAGCACTGAAGATTATGATTTCGGGGTATTTTAGTGTGGGCAGCCTGTACAGTACACACTGCACGTCATGTCTGCAGGGAGAACTGTAGCTCGCTTTGGTTTATAGCCCCCTTAGGCCATAAAGAGGGCTCTCTGGGGCTCTGGGGCTCTGGGGCTGTGGGCCTCTGGGCAGGTGTGTCTGGCATACGCATCACTGATATGGGATCGTAAACCCCACCAAATAACCCCGCCTCCGATGGTCTTGTAATGTGAAACGTTTGGTTGTCAGGCACTTGTATCGCTTGACACCTACAATGTGTATAATATTTATAGATCTACAAACGATTACTTCAGCTACGATTATCGGACAATCATTGGAACTTTAATTTTAACGATTCGTTCTATAAGTTTAGTCCGCCATCGTGGATCGATTGATATATGACAGACAGCCTTCTTTCACTTGCAGTTGGCGGGGCATTACTTTATGACTATGTGATTGGGTCCGTTTTACCCTCACCACCCATAACCATATAATGAAGCACCCACAAGATCTGAGGGTCACCGATGGACAGCAGCTATTGAAGATCAACAAGGTGGAGGAAATGGAGCATGAGTTGCATGAATCTGGTAAGTGAATATCACTCTGAAAAGAGGTACCTTCCTTCCAATGATTCGTTTTTGGACCAATTAGTGGATAACTTGAGTATTATCTATGATCTCATCCTGAGAACACAATCAGGTGGCAGCCAACTTTATCTTTTAGTTCTATAAATGGTTTAAAATAGTTATTAGGGACTTACCGATACGGAATATAAATATTTTCTACTATTTCCTTTGTGCTTGAGAATTTTTTTACAAGATTAAAGAATGATCTGTTGCTTTGAAGTATACCGTTGTTCTCTTTAATTTTAATTAAAATATTTGGAAAACTTCGATTGATCAGATGTATATCTCAGCGAGGTTCTCCCAATTCATATTCGCAGATGATCCGTAAAAAACCCCCGATTTCCTCGTTTCGTATAGTCTCTGTTTGCCCACCTTTATGGGATACTTTTACAGCGAATGAGCACCGTCCGCCTGATCATTAAAGGAAAATTCTCTTGTAGAAGAAGGCTATCACTGAATGTAAAACCTGTCTACAATCCAGAAGAATTTAAGTCCTCTTCTGCTCTCTGTTAATTCTAAACTGATCTCCGATTGTCCTTGAAAAATTCGCGTGCCGATAAACTTTAAAAAAATGTATGATTTCCACTGCCAATCCAGATAATATTTACGATTCAGAAATGATTTCAAATCAGTTTTGTGGCTGCCGTAAACTGTATGACTGTTCAAGGTGCACGATCGTGCGGCACACCTTTCTTTGTGGCCAAACACGTGCCACGTGTGGCAGTCAGAAGTGTGTTCCCCTCAATCGTATGGCGGCTTGGCTAGAAGGTAAATTGTAACGAGGGGGAACGTTGTGAGTTGCTGCCGCGACCGCAACTCCACATTTATACCCGATACTTAGTCAGTATGGCTTTCCTCCGGCAGACGTCGCTAATATTAAACGGCACGACAAAGAGTTCGGTCGAGAGAGACAGAAAATCAGTATGAACATGTCGTCGGGCGCTGCGTAGCCACTGCAAATTGATTTGTTCCTTTTGGCTATAAAAATGATCCGATCAGAACCAGATTCAGCAATCTGGTCATTCTCTATGATTGCGCGTTTTTAGTTTTCTGGAATCTTCAATATTGTGGATGCCACATATTTTCGTCCTTTGTGGAGGTCCCTTCCGCCTCCTGTGGGGCGAAATTTTGAAATGTACGTGTAATAGTGACATATTACAGAAGTCTGGATACAAAATGTCGTTGCTCTAGCTCTTATAATCTTTGAGCCCTAGGCGCTTATAGGGACGGACAGACAGACGGGGCTCAATCGACTCGGCTATTGATGCTGATCAAGAATATATATACTTTATTATGTCGGAAACAATACCTCTGGACGTTACACACCTCCATTTTCACCACAAATCTAATATATGTATGTACGCCTACACTCATTTTAAGTATCTTGATTTTTATTGCATAATTATTATTTTTGATTTTTATTGAATAATTGTTATTATAATTGTTATTCTTGATTTTTATTGAATAATTGTTATTATAACTGTTATTCTTGATTTTTATTGAATAATTGTTATTATAATTGTTATTCTTGATTTTTTTGAATAATTGTTATTATAACTGTTATTCTTGATTTTTATTTAATAATTGTTATTATAACTGTTATTCTTGATTTTTATTGAATAATTGTTATTATAATCGTTATTTTTGATTTTTTTGAATAATTGTTATTATAATTGTTATTCTTGATTTTTTTGAATAATTGTTATTATAATTGTTATTCTTGATTTTTATTGAATAATTGTTATTATAACTGTTATTCTTGATTTTTATTGAATAATTGTTATTATAACTGTTATTCTTGATTTTTATTGAATAATTGTTATTCTTGATTTTTTTGAATAATTGTTATTATAACTGTTATTCTTGATTTTTATTTAATAATTGTTATTATAACTGTTATTCTTGATTTTTATTGAATAATTGTTATTATAATCGTTATTTTTGATTTTTTTGAATAATTGTTATTATAATTGTTATTCTTGATTTTTTTGAATAATTGTTATTATAATTGTTATTCTTGATTTTTATTGAATAATTGTTATTATAATTGTTATTCTTGATTTTTATTGAATAATTGTTATTATAACTGTTATTCTTGATTTTTTTGAATAATTGTTATTATAATTGTTATTCTTGATTTTTTTGAATAATTGTTATTATAATTGTTATTCTTGATTTTTATTGAATAATTGTTATTATAATCGTTATTTTTGATTTTTTTGAATAATTGTTATTATAATTGTTATTCTTGATTTTTTTGAATAATTGTTATTATAATTGTTATTCTTGATTTTTATTGAATAATTGTTATTATAATCGTTATTTTTGATTTTTTTGAATAATTGTTATTATAATTGTTATTCTTGATTTTTATTGAATAATTGTTATTATAATCGTTATTTTTGATTTTTTTGAATAATTGTTATTATAATTGTTATTCTTGATTTTTTTGAATAATTGTTATTATAACTGTTATTCTTGATTTTTATTTAATAATTGTTATTATAACTGTTATTCTTGATTTTTATTGAATAATTGTTATTATAATCGTTATTTTTGATTTTTTTGAATAATTGTTATTATAATTGTTATTCTTGATTTTTTTGAATAATTGTTATTATAATTGTTATTCTTGATTTTTATTGAATAATTGTTATTATAATTGTTATTCTTGATTTTTATTGAATAATTGTTATTATAATCGTTATTTTTGATTTTTTTGAATAATTGTTATTATAATTGTTATTCTTGATTTTTTTGAATAATTGTTATTATAATTGTTATTCTTGATTTTTATTGAATAATTGTTATTATAATCGTTATTTTTGATTTTTTTGAATAATTGTTATTATAATTGTTATTCTTGATTTTTATTGAATAATTGTTATTATAATCGTTATTTTTGATTTTTTTGAATAATTGTTATTATAATTGTTATTCTTGATTTTTATTGAATAATTGTTATTATAATCGTTATTTTTGATTTTTTTGAATAATTGTTATTATAATTGTTATTCTTGATTTTTATTGAATAATTGTTATTATAATCGTTATTTTTGATTTTTTTGAATAATTGTTATTATAATTGTTATTCTTGATTTTTTTGAATAATTGTTATTATAATCGTTATTTTTGATTTTTTTGAATAATTGTTATTATAATTGTTATTCTTGATTTTTTTGAATAATTGTTATTATAATTGTTATTCTTGATTTTTATTGAATAATTGTTATTATAATCGTTATTTTTGATTTTTTTGAATAATTTTTATTATAATTGTTATTCTTGATTTTTATTGAATAATTGTTATTATAATCGTTATTTTTGATTTTTTTGAATAATTGTTATTATAATTGTTATTCTTGATTTTTATTGAATAATTGTTATTATAATCGTTATTTTTGATTTTTTTGAATAATTGTTATTATAATTGTTATTCTTGATTTTTATTGAATAATTGTTATTATAATTGTTATTCTTGATTTTTTTGAATAATTGTTATTATAATTGTTATTCTTGATTTTTATTGAATAATTGTTATTATAATTGTTGTTCTTGATTTTTATTGAATAATTGTTATTATAACTGTTATTCTTGATTTTTATTGAATAATTGTTATTATAACTGTTATTCTTGATTTTTATTGAATAATTGTTATTATAATCGTTATTTTTGATTTTTTTGAATAATTGTTATTATAATTGTTATTCTTGATTTTTTTGAATAATTGTTATTCTTGATTTTTATTGAATAATTGTTATTATAATTGTTATTCCTGATTTTTATTGAATAATTGTTATTATAACTGTTATTCTTGATTTTTTTTGAATAATTGTTATTATAACTGTTATTCTTGATTTTTATTTAATAATTGTTATTATAACTGTTATTCTTGATTTTTATTTAATAATTGTTATTATAATCGTTATTTTTGATTTTTTTGAATAATTGTTATTATAATTGTTATTCTTGATTTTTTTGAATAATTGTTATTATAATTGTTATTCTTGATTTTTATTGAATAATTGTTATTATAATCGTTATTTTTGATTTTTTTGAATAATTGTTATTATAATTGTTATTCTTGATTTTTATTGAATAATTGTTATTATAATCGTTATTTTTGATTTTTTTGAATAATTGTTATTATAATTGTTATTCTTGATTTTTATTGAATAATTGTTATTATAATCGTTATTTTTGATTTTTTTGAATAATTGTTATTATAATTGTTATTCTTGATTTTTATTGAATAATAGTTATTATAATTGTTATTCTTGATTTTTATTGAATAATTGTTATTATAACTGTTATTCTTGATTTTTATTGAATAATTGTTATTATAATTGTTATTCTTGATTTTTATTGAATAATTGTTATTATAATCGTTATTTTTGATTTTTTTGAATAATTGTTATTATAATTGTTATTCTTGATTTTTTTGAATAATTGTTATTATAATTGTTATTCTTGATTTTTATTGAATAATTGTTATTATAACTGTTATTCTTGATTTTTATTGAATAATTGTTATTATAACTGTTATTCTTGATTTTTATTGAATAATTGTTATTATAACTGTTATTCTTGATTTTTATTGAATAATTGTTATTATAATCGTTATTTTTGATTTTTTTGAATAATTGTTATTATAATTGTTATTCTTGATTTTTTTGAATAATTGTTATTATAACTTTTATTCTTGATTTTTATTTAATAATTGTTATTATAACTGTTATTCTTGATTTTTATTGAATAATTGTTATTATAATCGTTATTTTTGATTTTTTTGAATAATTGTTATTATAACTGTTATTCTTGATTTTTATTGAATAATTGTTATTATAATTGTTATTTTTGATTTTTTTGAATAATTGTTATTATAATTGTTATTCTTGATTTTTATTGAATAATTGTTATTATAACTGTTATTCTTGATTTTTATTGAATAATTGTTATTA